CACATATATATAGTTCAAGCTAGCGTGCGCCAGGAGTACGCTATACTCTTGCATTCATACTACCATACGTCCATTGAGTTTTACAATTTAGACCCGAATTAACCATAGTTTTTTGGGATATGATACTATACCCTAACCTCTAATAGGTGAACTCCAATCCCTAATTCTTTAACCTCTAATTTATGCACAAACTTCGTAATACCTATCTTCTATCGTATCTTGAGTAAAATAAAATGTATAGTATACCTTGATATTACATATACATGTATATATATATATGTGTGTGTGTATATATTAGACTCAAAATTATCTAGAGATCTCGCTTTTACCCCCATAACGCCAGACAATCATTGGGGTTGTCTATCGTTCGATATATAATATATAAAGAGGCAAATACTAAGATCCTACTATTTATTTCTTATCCTCTCCCGCCGCCCCTTTATGGAGAATAAAAGGGTAGGGATGACAGGATCATAGCTAGATATGGTTTTATTATGTTCATCGTATCAGAGGTTATGTTCTTTTTTGCTTTTTTTCCCCTTCTTTTCATTCTACTTTAGCACCTATGGTTGTGATCAGAGGTATTTAGCCCCCGAAAGGGATTGGGATTTTTGTTCCTTTGGAAATCCAATATACATTCATGATTCTCGAGTTTGGACGAACTCTCGACCAATGTTGTAAAGATTAGGACTTTTTAGTGAGAAATTCTTAGTAAAGATACTTCATTATTGGATTTATTCATCCATATTGAAACTTGACACACACCGTAGCCCTCATGATGACTAAATTCTCTAATCTCGACTCATTTCTATTTTGGATTTTTTTTATCCAGACACTTAAATCTAGTATATTATACCATATGTATCAATTGTTAATTCTTGAAGTTTATACTAAACCTCAACCGGTGGTCATTGTTTATATGTTGGCTTAGAATCTCAATCTAAGGCACTCAGCCACTCACACACACTATCGAGGATTTTGGTCTTAACATGGTCGTTGAATGTGTAATTTTCAAAGAATTTATCACTTATATATTAATAATTGGTAAAGAGTGTCTCCAATACACATATTTCAAGTGCATTTAAAATGTCTTATCATTTGAACAATATCAGTGGATTTCATTGGATTATTTGCATTAGCTTATTATCTTATACAACACATATCAATTCGTGTTTCTCGAGTTTGGACGAACTGGCAACCAATTTGAGAGTTGAGATTATTAGATAAAGATACTTGATTGCTGGATAAATATGTTTATCCCAATTGACTATCTTACTAAAAATTGCCAACCTTTATTTGGTAAATGCCTAGGTTAGTAGTTGATGAAACGTGATGTTTATCGTAGATTTTCAACAAAGATTTTTCTAACCTTCACATCTATTATTTTTCAAGAAATCTTGTGTCTCGTCCTAGGGTATGAAGTCAAAGTTCGTCAACAATTATACTTACGTCATTTTGAAAATTTTGATTTATAATCGTCGACGATAACTCCAAGTTTGAAAGAAAATTTCTTAGCATACGACTTAGAACCTCAACAGAGCTTGCTCAATCAACATGATATAGATCAAATATTTTTAATGTAAACTTAAGACACATTATCAAATTATTGCACATGCGATCTCTCTTCATTTGAAGAATTTAAGGTAGAACATGATCTGAATGAATAAGAAGTTTTTTTAAATAAATAACTGTAACTACTCAATAAAGATTATACTATGATATTTTGCTAAATAATACTTGTTTTATTTTATAGATATATACTGTACGAATAAGAGAGTGTTTCATTACAACAAAATATAAAGTAATATAGTTTATTTTTCAAAGGTAATTGAATGTCAAATGTTTATTTTCTCTCTTTTCATATATATTTTGGTTTAATCGATTAAACCATAATTGTTTATGTGTATGTTTGTTAAATTTTTTCATAAAAATTTAACTTATCATTCAATTTTAGTAAAAATGAGTAGAAAATTTACTTCATAAAGTTTAATCAGATATTTTTTATTTAAACAAATCTTACTATATATTATGGTTGTTCAATAGTAACTTCTTGCCACATAAGCACTTAAAGAATTCACAAGATGCCAAGGTGGACAACTTTTTTACAAACAAAAAAGTTAGTTAATAATCTATTAATAGAGTCATCTCTCTCTTCTTTTAATGATCTTTCCTCTTATTCATTAATTTGTTTTTTTATTTTATTTATTATATCTATGTTTGTAGCCATAGACTAATGTATTTAGAGTGATATATATCGCGTTTGTTTAAACCAAAATATGACTTTATCAAGTAAATTTTTGACTCATTTTTACTAAAACATAATAACAAGTTAAATTTTATTGAAAATTTTAAACAATCACAAATAATAATATTTTTATTGATTAAACAAAAATATAACGATAGAATGAGGGAAAAAATTGTTAGACAATCAATCTACTTTCAAAAACAAAATATGTTATTTTTATATTTTTGGCTATTAAACACTCTCTTATTTCTAATGTATATATCTATCAAATAAAACAAGTATTATAAAACAAAAGGTTCGAATAGAAACTTTACGATTTACATGTATTATATGACACGTGTGAATGTTAGATAAATCTTTGTTGACGATGTACGGTAAACACTATGTTTCATCAACCACTGATCTAGCATTGATCAAACATGGTTTGACAATTTTTGCTTAATTGTTGAATTTCTTCTACACCAAAGCCTTTATAGTTAGAAGAGTCCAAACCGATATTAGGTTAAAAATGAAGAATCTTTATAAGGGTGAGATCAAAAAGAAAATTGTAAGAATTCATTTGGTTGCATACATGGTTGTGATTCTATGACTCAATATCAAATTTTGGCAATAAAAAAAATATTTTTTATATCGAAGTGTCAAAATAAAAATGTTTTAGTTTGTAAGAGTAAGCAATATGTATTTGGATAAGTTATCCTAGCCACAAAATTTTGTTTTCCTATTCCGCTGAACGAGGTGATTTCAAAGGTCTTAATTATAGTTAAAAAAAATAAAGTAAACTCTTCATATATGCTTAGATATTAATATTGATGTGTCTGCAATACATCCAAGAATTCATATGTATGTGAAATGTCACAATGTTGGTATGAGTTATAAATTTTTAATAAAAAATAAAATTTTACAAAAATAAGAATTTTTGTTCAAATGATATGACGCTTTTAATGCATCTAAATCTATGTGGATTGTAGTTGTAGACATGCTTCATGAATTATTAAGATATATAATGAAATATTTTGTTCCAGAACTAACACCAAGAATAAGGAAATTTTTCCAAATGTACATTAAAAAAGTTGGAAATTATACACTAAAAGACTATGTTAATACGAGAACCCTTGATAGTGTGTGAGAGTATCTTGGTTTGAGATTCTAAACCAACATGTAGACAACAACCATGGGCTGAGGGTTAGGCAAAACTTCAAGAATTAGCAATTGGGACATATATATTGAGTAAATAAAATTTGATACCCAAACCTTTCAAAATTTTCAAGTTATTAGCCAAACCTTTCGAAATACAAAAAATAGTCAAATATTTGGTATCGCATCAAAATATTAGTCATTTGACTAATATCTTTAACAATTTTGTAACTCTTCTCTTAATCAAAATACTAATTTTTTTAATATTGACAGTCTTATGTCTCCTCCAACTCATCATCGTGTTGTTGAGTCAATATTACTAACAAAAATGCTCACGAGGAGTTAACATTTTGCTAATGCTTTGTATTTTGAAGGGCTTTGGTGATAATTTGAAAAGTTTGAAAGGTTTAACTAATAAATTGTATTTACTCTATTGTATAAGATAATAAATTTGAGTTTCTTGATAGACACATTTTAACATAAGATCCTCAGCAGATACTTAATGAACATCCACATGAAAAAGAGTCAAGATTAGATAAGTTGGTCGTCATAAGGTGTACATAATGTGTCAAGTTTCATTTGAGATAAGCACAATTTATCACGCAACTAAGTATCTTTATCCAATAATCTGAACTCTTAATAAGTGGTTGTGAGTTTGTCCTAACTAAAGAATCATGAATTGTTATATGTTTTATAAGATAATAAATTTGAGTGCCTTGGTTGACAATTTTTATAAACTATTCTAAATAAGACGTGATAAACTTTCACAATATAATTTATGATTAGAGAATTGAAGCATCGTAGGTGAGTGTGCTAAGCTTTGAGAATTTATAATATAAACATATCACATAATCACTTATAAAGTGAGAGCATACAAAAATAAGAACGTTAAAATTAAACATATAGATAAATTAATTGATATAAATGATAAAATGAAATTCTACAGCCACGGGCCGGGTAAAACACTCGTGTGATATATGTCACTCTCTGTTATCTTATTTATATTTTGTTTATTTAACAAAAAATTATTATTTAGGTGTGTTTGGTTAAATTTATCAATATGTAACTTATTATTAAAGACAAAAAAGAATAAATGGATAAATGAAAAAAAATAATTGGATAAAAGAAATGAAAATATTAAAGAAGAGAGAGGTAGCTCCATAAATACATTAATAAATAATTTTTTTGTTTGTAAAAAAGTTGTCTAACTTGGCAAATTGTGGATCCTCCAAGTGCTTATGTGGCAAGAAATTTTTTTTGAATTGCCATAATATATAGTATAGATAGATAGATAGATAGATAGATAGATAGATAGATAGAGATAGATAGATATAGATAGATAGATAGATGTCACCTTTTCTATTAGTGTCTACAATTGATTCAGTAAAAATTGACAATAGATGTTGTTGGGCATAGTTTCTCTCAATACAAACAATCGTGATCTGTCTTTGCCAAGAAATTGACAACTTGATTAACCTTCCCGAGGCAATGGTGGAGATGAAAATCCAAATTTTAGTGGAGAAGAACATAATAATCATTAAGATGACTTTTTTTTTGTGTGGAAAAAGGGTGCTAAGGGCACCCAAACCTCAACCTGTTACAAAATGGGAGGTTTCAACCCCTATCTGGTAAAAAAGAAGCAGTAATTGAGCATGCTACTAGGTTGATTGATGATGTGAACTCCCGGAGGAATGGAGTGGCCGGTTGAAGCAAGGAAATCTGCCACCGCATTTCCCTCCCTGAAAACATGCTCGATCCGAACCTGCCAATCGCGCTGCAGAATACGCCTAATCTCTGATACGACCATAAAATGAGGATGAGTAGATGAGCCTGAGTGAGGACCCCACTTATCCACCCACACCTGTTGGGGTTGGCGTGGTGTCCCGGTTCGCTTACAATTTCCCATTTTTTTCGGGGTACCCGTATTAGCATCTTTTTGGTGGTGGTCTGATCCACTCCCTTGGATGACTCTACGGCCCCTTCCTCATCAACAAGTACTGCAAAACGGGATCCTGAGGGTTGAGCCTGGCCAGAATCATGTTTCCTTGTAGTCCGCTCTCCATGAGTGCCAAGGTCCTGTTTATGGGACGCGCGACGTTCTCTTCTTTTAGCAATCATCCATTCCCCGTAGTTTTCAGAATGGTGTGGTGCTGAATGGGTTGTTTCAGTCTGGGGCGATGGGTTATCAAGTTTCTCCCTATGTAGCGTGGGGCAATGGCTCTTTTGGTGGCCATAGGAACCACATTCAAAGCAAACATTTGAGAGGCCTTCATACTGGAGCTCATACTCTACCCCCTCAATCTTATATTTCGACAAAAGCGGTTTAGTGAGGTCCACTTCAATACAGGTATGAGCGAACAGTCCACGTGCTCCCAACTCAGTAGCTCTGTCAACTCAAATCGGTATTCCTGCTTTGCTTACTATACGAAGGACAACTTGCGGATTGAAAAGCTCAATTGGGAGATCCGGTAACATCACCCACACCAGCGTAGAAGTGCCCGTACAAGTGCGGGGGTTAAAGCCCTTCTTCCACTTTTGTGTTGTCAAGTAATGATCCCCCAAGCATCCAGGTGCCTCCGGTAAGGGCATGTTCATAGTCGATCTTATGTGTGAATCTCACAAACAGAAATCCATTCGCTCTATTGGTGATTTGGATGGGACCGTTCCTAACCCACAACATGTTGAGCCTTCTCGCTATCACCGGATACGGGAACGATCGGCCAAGAGCTTTGACGACAATAGCCGAACGCCATTCTCTGCGGTAACTACGCCACTCTCCCTTGGTAAACCATATTGTAGGGCATCGTGGGTCTTCCTCTTCAACTGGTGAGTCCACTTCATCATCTTCTCTCATAGCTTCAGCTACATCCTCGGAGTCTGAATCTTCCATTGTTCCACATACCAAGTTTTCTCACGGACCGCTTCACTAAAGAGCTTCTTACGACCTACCCCCCAGGCCATTGGCGGGACCGGGGAAGTTTGGCTTTGGGTTTGGGACGGTGGGTTTTGTGATTGGTTGTCAGGGTATTCCTGCTCCTGGGTCTCTCGGGTTTCTTCATCAGTGATATCTTCGACTACAACCTCCTCCATATTGACATTCTCGTTCGCTAAGTCGATTCCCCGAACCCTTTTTTTTGGGTGCTGCGTTTCACGAGCCTTCTTTCCGTCCGGGGACGAGGTTACTTCAGGTGGGCGACGGACTCCAGCAGTAGGGTCCGGTGGTTTTGGTCCCTCCGGCGCAGCGCCTAGAGGTATCGGCGGCGACGTCGCCGCCATCGTGATTGAAGCCAACTGGGAAAAACCCTAGCCGACTTCCTGGATCTGAGAAAAATGGAGCAAATTTAAGTTCGTAGATAGCATTAAAATGTTTATCTCTATCATTAAGATGACTCTAAGTGGGTAAAAGAGAAAATCAGCCAAATAGCGAAATGAGACAACGATTTTTGAATCATAGTTGATCCCTACCCTTAAAAATCCCAAGCTCCAAGCTAACCTGAGATCATCTCTAATTGCTTTGAGCACGAAACTTTGCCCCTTCTTTTTTTCGAGTAGCCTACAATTCACGTACTTTATAAGTCTCGTATCACTCCACTGACCAAAGAGGATGGAGATGCTATCCGCTTACTGCCATCCACATTAAAGTTGATCCAACCATCAAAGGAAGATTTCCATGATACTTGGCGCCATTACAGTATAGTACTCAGACACTTGCATACCAACATCATGAATCTTCAAAGCGCACCTTGATTCAGGTCTAATTGTACATATTTTACCACTCATTTTTTGTCCGTTTGATTTGGTATTTCATCGTCACTCGACCTATTTTGTGCTAGGTTGTGCTTCTTTTGTCATATTCCAGGTCCTATTACATGTGGGAATGTCCGAGACGAGTTTTGGGTCATTCGGAGGTCAAAACGAGCCAAAAAGTGGAGGCTAAGCACTGCTCACGGGCTGGAGGCAAATGTCACGCCCTGAGACCACGAAAATCACCCCTAGGGAGTGAAGTGCATGACTTCACGGTCTGGACTTATTTATCACGGTACTAAGACCGTGATAATCACCCCTAGACCGTGAAGTGGCCAAATGCCAGAGCAATTTCGCGTCTCACTGGAGTCCAACCAGTTCACGGTCGTTAAGACCGTGAACTCAAGCCCCAGACCATGAAGTCAGCACTATAGGGCAAATATAAAGACAACAGTGGGGGAGAGAAAAATGGGAGCTGGTTTTTGGAGGAGAAATTGATTCTCTCTAGGGTTTCGACCCAAAACACCAAAGGGGAGTTACAGTGAGAGAGAGTTCTTGAGTGATCTTGGAGCTTAATTGAAGGCATTGATCAAGTTTGGAAGCAAGGAATCATTAGAAGAAGAAGAAGATCTTGTGCTCCAACTTGTAATTTTTCTCTTCTCTCTCTAGAAACTCACCATCTTCTCTTGGGATTAAAAATACTAGGTCTAAATTTTGGTTTTATGTTGATGTATGTGACAAATTCCATGTTTGATTGATGATTTTACTTAATTGATGGATGTTTTCATGAATTGCATGAGTTGGGTTTTCATTTTTCATGTTTTGAGTTTTTGATCTAGGAGGGAGAAAATCCCCTTAGAGCCCACTATTGACGTCTTTGGGTCACTCCTCATCCTATATCGTCCGGGTGATCCCCATTCCGGTTCATTACCGAGGGAGTCCATCTCCTAATGGTAGAGTTTTTGAGTCTATCAATCGAGCTAGGAGGATACCCAACATCGATTCGAAGTACGGACCTAGGACGATTCAACCCAAGAGAGCTCACAACCTTGTAAATAGTTAGGTTAGTGGTTAGCTAGGTTAGTTAGTTTAATTTTTCCTAATCACTACTCTAGGTTGGCTAGATAATGAACCCTAAACCTGAAGTAGGGCAAGCTTAGATCCCCGTGGTACGATAAATTATTATTGCTTGCTTGCCCTATGCTACACCCGGTTGGCGGTTATGCTTGGCCGTCGATCGGGATGTTGTAGTTGGAACGAGTCACGCCTTAAGTCACCTTCCAAAAAATATTACGTAACCACACTTCCCTTTTATGGATGAAAGTATTCCTTTACTTCGAAATATATCAAAGAGTTGCAAGTACCAGCAACACCTTACCGTCGCAAACAAGAATACTTTGTAAACATTCCTGCAAGTCACGAACAAAGAAGTCGATTTGGTGGATAGGAGGGATCAGGTTTGTCCATTAACAATTTGGATAATATATCCAAATTCATTCCTTCTCGATTGAATTCATTGAACGGGATTCATATGCCTGCAATAAACTGTTAGAATATGACTTGAATTTGATTTGAGTTTGTTTGGTGTTTTGGGCCTATTTTGTTTGAGTTTGTGTTTGGGCTTTGTTTGCCTTTTTCCTTGTATGTTTGGGAAAATATATTTGGTTTTCTGTTTGGGATTAGGAGAAGAGTTCTATAAATACTCTTCATCACCCTAGTCTGTAGTAAGGTCAGTCAGGTTAGTTTGTTTGGTTTGTCCGTTTGGAATTTGGGTTTGTAACCTGTACTCTCCTCAAATTAGTGAAATTTGTTCTCCTCTGCTTGTGGATTAGCTAGCACACATTGTGTTAGTGAACCACGTTAAATTTGTATTCGTTCGTGTTGGTTTGAATTGTCGTTTGCACGCTTCTGTTCTGACAAGTGGTATCAGAGCCGCGGTTGATCTTTGGGTTATTTGAAACTGTCTGTGGATTTTGGGATCACGTTGCTGGTTGCTACTTGCTAGATTGATTGATTGGAAGTCGATGTTCGCATCGTTCCTTTGGCGTTGGAGCATCGGGTTGGTTCTTTGGAATTCGTCGTTGTTGATTTGAAAAGGTTGGATTTGTTGCTTTGGGGTAGGATTATTGTGATTATTAATCACAATTGTTTGCCGCCAATTCTGGAGGAGAAGCAGACGAAGTGGCCTTGGTGAAGTTTTGTTTTATTTGGAGTTCTGATTATTATCACAATTTGGAGTAATCACAATTCATTAGTATTTGTGAAAGTTGCAACTAGTGTTTGTCTCGTTATGGACTTTGAAATTTGGTGTTTCCTTGGAGTTGAAGTTTGAGTTGGGAACTTTTGCCAACGATTGACACCAAGTTCCGTTGAGGTGGTTGGTTAGGGTTTACATAATTTTGGTTATTGTATCGGTGTGGTGGTTAGAAATTCCGATCATCAAGGATGTTTGTTCTGGATTTAAAGATTGAGAAGTCGATTTGGAGCTGCAGGTTAGGAGTTGGAAGTAAATCTGATGGTGTTATCGATGGAAATAACACCAAGTTGGTTATGCATGGCAAGTCCCAACATGGGTTGGACTTGCTGCATGTTTTGATTTGTTGATCGCCCTTAGGGGCATTTGGAGGCATGGGAGATTCTGGTACAGCTGATTTGGAGGAGTTTGGTACGTCTGACAATTTTGATTACATCTGAGTTTGGCGATTTGCATCGCGTTTGAGTTTGGTGATTTCGATCACATCTGGACATCTGGCAACTTTGGTTGCGTCTGGTACATCTAGCAGCTTTGGTTGCATCTGGTACATCTGGAAAATTTGGTTGCATCTGGTATTTGAGAGAGAATTCAAGTCAAGGTGGAGATTGTTAGAATATGACTTGAATTTGATTTGAGTTTGTTTGGTGTTTTGGGCCTATTTTGTTTGAGTTTGTGTTTGGGCTTTGTTTGCCTTTTTCCTTGTATGTTTGGGAAAATGTATTTGGTTTTCTGTTTGGGATTAGGAGAAGAGTTCTATAAATACTCTTCATCACCCTAGTCTGTAGTAAGGTCAGTCAGGTTAGTTTGTT